CCCTTGATGGAATACAGATTTGTAGCATATGTTATACTTTTTGGTCATTAAATGGAAGTCATCTTTATTTCTGGTATTATGTAAATGATGGACGACATTTGATGATGTTAAATTAGTAAGACTTGATGGAAATATATTATTTTTTACTTTATAAATGAATATCATTACAAGATATTTGATAAAATTCTTTACATTGAGCCATTTTAATTTGCTAAGCATTTGCCTAATTGAAGTATATTTATCTTTATTTAGTATTATTCTCATGCACTTATTTTGTAAAATTTGCACTCTTTCAAAAATGGAATTATTTGCTAAATATAGAATAGTCGAACAGTACAAGAAATTTGGAAGAATGATGGTATTATAGATAATTTTTCTGCTATATGAACTCAGACATCCAGAAACTCTCGATAAATATCCCACTTTACTACTAATCTTATTTATAACTTTTTCATAATGAATATCAAAAATTAATCGAGAGTCAACAAAAACCCCCAGGTATTTAAAATTTTCTACGAATTCAATATCTTCACCATCACTATTCAGTTGAACATTTGTACATTGTTTTTTTCCGATTAACAAGGCTTTCGTTTTACTTGCATTTAATTTTAGTCTGTTAGATGCTAACCATTTTGAGACAAGCTTCAAGTCTTCATTTATATAAGAGATACCAGACTGCATATTTTTAGTACTACTTATATAAATCATAGTGTCATCGGCGAAAATCTGAATTTTGCATTTTTTGACTATGGCAGGTAAATCATTTATGTATAAAATAAAAAGAAGTGGTCCCAGGATACTGCCCTGTGGAACACCCAACGTATTTTCAATTTTTGATGAAATAGTGTCATTAACTTTTGTAACTTGCATCCTTTTAGACAAATAATTTCTAAACCAATCTAAAACACTTCCTGTTATACCATATGCCTTCAATTTACCTAACAAAATATCTCTCACTCGTTTCAAATGCCTCTTCAAATCCAAAAACTGCTATGACAACTTCTTCTGAGTCTATGGCTCTTCTCCAATTCTCAGTTACCAACTGGAAAGCTGTTTCTGTGGAATATTTTTTTCGAAAGCCTGCTTGCGCCTCCACTAAAATTTTGTTTTCTTCTATAAACTGCATTAATTGGTCATGCACTATGGACTCTAATAATTTTTCAATGTCTGGTAACACATTTACTGGTGTCATATCGCTGCATCTTTAGAATTTTTTATTTTGGGAACTGGTGTTATTGTAGAGCATTTACAAATTTTCAGGAAAAGAACTGCTTCTCAGTGAACAATTGATCCAATTTAATACAGGATATCCCAAAATTTCGAAACAGTTTTCAGCACGTTTTTAGTAGTCATTTCGGCACAGTTTTTATTTGATTTAAACTGTTTACTTTTTTTCTTAGATAATTCAATGATACGCTGTGAAATTTTGAAAGTGTATGCAACATTCCCCCTGGAAACTGATTTTCATATAGTCAGGTGCGCATTGGCAGTACCCATAATATCAACAATACTTTCCACAAAATATTCATTGAGTTTGTTTGCAATCCCCAAAGAATTTGTTTCGGTACCGTTTCGAATTGAACTTGATTTACACAATCATGCGGCTTCGAATTGATCAGTCTTTTTAAAGTCTTCCACATCTTTACACTGTCGCACTTGTTATTATCGATTTGTTTATCGTAGAATTTCCTTTTTCTTCTCTAATTACATATACACATTTATTCCTAAGAGTTTTATATACCTCCCAAACGTCATTTGATTTTGTGAATATACATTTATTGTATTGTTTGTCTCTCAAATTTTAAGCTGCCTTAATATTCTTGTTATACCAGGGTGTATTTTTTGTCGAGCAAATCACTTTGTATGTTGTCATATATTTTTTTTCATATTCTCACCAAAATCCAATAGCAGCCAGCAAGTTCTCGTTCAAGTTTTTCGTACTTAATAGTATTTATCTATGAGAGAATCTCCAAACAAGGACCGCCCGCTCATAGATCGTCGTTTCTGTGAACCAGTAATAAGCCAAAAGCCGACTGATGAGTTTTGGTCACTTTTTGGCGTACTCATATGTTAAAAACTAGTAAAATCTTACGTATTTTAATGCTAAACAGCAAACTTGCCAAGTTTGCTGCAGGTGAGATTTAAGTATTTTTTATCGTATCACACCAGTACGCGATGAACCAAAAATTTGCGGTCCCTACGTTGGTCGCCAGTGTTATCCCTATAAACTGTGTGCTCAGTTAGAAGCTATGAGCCCCCTCCTTTGTATTTTGGTTTCGGATGCAATGATTATTTGGGAGCCACCTAGTTTCAAAACTAGAAAATGGAATTTATAAACAAGTATCACTGTTGGGATTCTGACGTTAAAAAAAGATACCAACTCACTAGGTACACAGACATTTTTTATTGAACAGAAAAAAAATTAAAATAAAAAAACTAAAATAAAAAAAACATATCTCCGTACGGCAACCGTTGGTGGGAAGTCCCACGTGTTCCCCTAAACCTGGAGGGTAAAACTGGAGGGTGGAACTGCAGGGTAGAACCCTCTAACAATGAGGATTCTCCAAAAATGGGGGAACTGCTCCTCCCAGGCGTAAGTCCCACTCAAACTCGCCTTGGACTAACCCTGTAGGCGGTTCCCCCACGCTCTATGGTTGAGAGTAACTATCTGCACGGTTAAATCCCCAAATGGGTAAGAAAAAGGCTCCGACAATAAAAACCACCAAGGGCGGCCGATCTCTAATAAAAACTACCCCACCACCCTTGAATCAGCAACACAGCGCGTAAACTATTCACAGAATCGGGCAGTGGGCCGTAGACAAATGTTTACACCAGAGTACGATTTTCTACCTTAAAATTATTAGACTGAGAAGTGGTTTGTTATAAAAATGAAACTCGATGTTTTTCTGAACGGCTATAAAATTATTATTCTAAATAAGAAAAACGTTGAGATAATTTACTTTGGCAAAATGTAGTTAATTTTTAGCCAACCATAAAAAGAAACTGTAACCGGCGGATTATACATTCCACGAAGTGTCTTCTCTTGATATAACTACTCTTTGTTTTATTTTCGTTTTTCCTCGGAATGCTTATTTTATACCCTATTACAAAAATTACCTGTCACTTGAGGTTTTCCCTGTGGCGGCGAAAACACCCCTATACCATATTCATCCTGCTGTTGCGGTTGTCCTTGAGTCGGCGTATACCTCAACACACCCGGCTTGACTACCTGTTGCTGTGTCGCAGCGGCCGTGGCCCCTGGGACCGCCACCTGCTGCCCCTTGTCCTGCTGCGTACCCGCAGGTGAGGCGGGCATTCCTGGAACTACTTCCTGGGGTGTAGCTGCTGGAGATGGTGGAGTGCTTGGTTGGCTGACCGCCTCCGTGGGGGCGGGGTCTTTCTTAGTAGCAACAGGGATGGAGGTGGGGCTGTCTGTTGCTACTGGTTTCTCCGGGGATTTGACAGGAGTGGCTGGCGATGGAGCTTCGATGTTCGATTCGTCGTTCTCCGAAATGTCCTGAAACAGAATGACCTTATGAAATAATGGAGTCAAACAATGAGGTCCAGATGAAAATATTGAACGTGGTATTTCATTAATATGTTATTCGCGAAGAATTATTTGGGCGATGAGCCTTTTCAAGGTCATTTATCGAATTTGGAGAGGACAGGCCTGATTTTTCTAGGATTTTGTTTGATATTGAAGATATGCAAAAATGTTTACTGTCTTGAACTTGATCTATGAACGTGATTTTCCTACATGAACTTATCCGACAAAAAAATGATATCCAGTAATATTATGTCCTTTTGTTAAAACCAAAAAGCAGTGTCGTGCCACGATGGTTAGTCTGGCATCCAATGCGGACAGTACCTTATATAATACTTTGGGAGTATTATCTTACCACTAAATAAGGATTCGACATTTATTTTTTCACGCGAAATTTTTTTTCAAATGGAAGGTTTAGATCATACAGCGAATTCTATAATTGCCTACAGTAAGGGTAGAAGCTAGGACAAGCCATCGATATTTTGCATTCTTTCTTCACACGAATCTTAAAACGCTACCGCGTATAGCATTGTCCTGTCATCAACTGGTACCGTAGATGTGATCTATAATCGTGATATCTACTTTTTCCATACAAACTTCACCAAAAGAAAAGTGCTATTGTGCCACGAGTAGTGCCTTAGCATACAGTGGGTATAGAACTTTAGATTTGTCCTTGTACTTGATCTAGCATCGCTATTTTTGATTATCCCCACAAATATTTAGTTAAGTAGATTGTTTATGGACTTCGCACGCAATTCTGGACTTATGCATTTTGTATCTTTATTGTTTGCCGGATATGAAAATCATAGTATTGTTCATTTGGCAAAAAATGAAATTATGGGCTTTGGATACGCATGATGTAAAACAGTGTTTCCCACCCATTTTAAGCGAGACTCCTCTTTGTTAAAAACATTGTTCACGATCCCCTATTTACCCCTACTCATAACCCAAACAAAAATATGACAAAAACAGCGCGCCTAATATGAGTCTACGAGGGATGTCTTTTAAGTTTTGCATATGGAAATAAAACAACACGGTAAGTAGTTTTAAATGACTCGTTCGAAGTATTCTCCACGAAGATTAATACACATGTCATGCGCTCGAACCAATTTTCGAAGCACTTATTCCACTCGTTTGCTGGCAGATCCAAAACGGCATTTTGAATGCGTCAACTGCTTCTTCTGGTGACTGGAACCTTTGACCACGCAGAGTATTTTAATTTTCGGGAAAGCAAAGAAATCGTTAGGACTTAGATCGGGACTACAGGTATATGGAGGATGGTACAATAATTCCACGTTTACTTCCGTTAAATACTGCCTTTTTTGAGCTGTGTGCGAGCTTGCATTGTCTTGGTGGAGGATGATTCTTCTTTCCGGGTTGATTTTCGAAGCTCGGTGATGACTTTTGGCAAACAAATGGTGCTATACCAATCCGCATTAACAGTTCTTTGCTCATTAAGAGGAATTGTTGCAATATGACCCGCTTTTGACACAAATGTCGCAACCATGTTTTTCGAAACACTTCTAGAACGGATGACTTGTGTTGGCTTTTCTTCACCTTGGGACACCCAAACAGCCGACGGTCGTTTATTTTCTGGTTCATAACAGTAAATCCACGATTTATCACCACTAACAATGCTGTACACATTTTTTGAGTTTCCAGAATTGAAAGGTCAAACGTTTTTTGACACCAATTAACCCTGGCTGCTTTCTGCTCTTCAGTCAACAGGTGGGGTATCCAACGAGAAACTAATTTTCTTACTCCTAGTTCTTCATATGATTTTTTTTAAATTGAGATCTTTGAGATCTTCAAGGACGCCTCAATCTCGCGATATGTCACATGTCTATCTTCAATGATGAGTTTGCGCACACCATCGACGTTTTCCTGGGTGACTGCCGTTTTTTGTGCACCCAGCCTGGGATCGTCGCTAAGACTCACCCGTCCACGTTTGAATTCTCCATACCAACGGGAAATTGTCGACTGATGTGGCGCTTCGTTGCCGAAAAGAGACAGCAACTCAGCAAGGCATTCTTGTTAAGATAATTGTCTCTGAAAGTTGTAATTATGGCGCGAAAATGTTCTCGGTTGAGTTCCATTTTTCTAATGACTTGGTGACACTTAAAAATTCACTGTAGTGAGAACACTGCACGTATTGTTGTGAAACTTTGAATTTAAGTTTACTAAAGAGTGAGGTTAAGATTCAGTAATGACGTTCGATCCGCGCGGCCTACTATGTTTCTATATGCAAAACTTAAAAGACATCCCTCGTACAATAACAATTTTCCAAATTTTATATTAGTTCACTGTTTACGTTTAAACTAGTTATATTAAAAAATCACAACGATTATTTTAACAATTGCAATTTGTTCCACTAGACCTATTCATATTAAGTTTTATGTTTCGTTTGATAATTAGTCGCTAATTTTTATATATATATATATATATATATATATATATATATCCCAACTAGCAAAGTAGTGGTATAAGCTTTTGGTAAAAGAACCGTTCAGCCATAAAATCTCTCTATTGTTGTTGCCTGAACACCAAAATGCTGGCTTAATGTTGTGTGGAATGCAAATTTGCTTTCTGCAACATATTTGCTCTAAAATGAGGTGTTTAAAATATTCTTGTAGCATAGTTATACAACACCTTATAGGGCAAATTTTTAACTGTTGCATAAACGTTTATACAACTAGTTTATACGGCATATTTGCAAGTTAGTCAAAATGGTTGTGTTGTGGCACCCATGCTAACGTTTATAAAACAAACCCGAGCCTTGTTGCTTTGCTGTGCAATTTACTACATTAGACAACAAATTGCTTCCAACGGAAGCAGTTATACAACTGTTACATATGCTAAATATGTTGGTAAACAACTTCACCATAACCTAACTTTCTGCTGTCATATTTTTGTTAAAATGCCATAACCAATGTTTTAAGACAAACAACGCATGCATATCGGTCAAAAGGTTTTATCAACTGTTCAAACAGAAGATATAGATCTGGTACAAATTCTGGGTAAATATTCTAATAACCTAAAGACAACATGGACGATGCCATGATTGTACACAACCACCCGCCATATTGGGCAAACATTTATTCCTCTATTTGATATTAAATAATTATGTTTCAGTTCGAAATTACAGATATAAAGTGATAAACATTAGTGCAATTGTGTCTAAATATAGGATTTGTGGAAGATTTAACGCAGATAAGTTCAGTTTTCCATCTTAAAAATCTAGACATACTTTTGATCATTGTCAAAATATGAATCAAATACGAAGCCCATAGAAATTGGGTAACTAATGTGCACGATAATGACAATAAAATTTGCTGCGCAAGTAATTCAATAGCCCTATATCAAAGTCTAGAAGTTTATCATATACCTGTGTATGAAATTCACAATGGCCGATATGTAAGTAAACAAGATGACTGTAATGTGTTAGTTATATATTCTTCACTTCGTCTATACAATACATTGCAATAAAGTAGAATCACGTAAGAGAATAGTTGTACAGTTGACAAAAACTGAATCTTGCACTGACGCAAATGTCCTATAGCGGCTGCAAGAGGCTTACACTTTTGTTTTATAACTGTTACCTGCAGCCCTTATACAACCTCTTAAATGACTGAAGTGTCCTATTAGGTGTGCCCATTCCGCTTGTATAGCTGTTCTAAGAGGGTTTTGCTAATGTTTTTAGAGTATACAATGCTGTTTAAGGAATACTGTATAATCATTCTTGCAACTCTAATAGGAGTGATAATTGTTAGTTGGGATATACAGGGTTACAGGAAAAGTCGTGCTAGATCCGTTAAGGGCGTGTAGTACCCATCATTTCTGACTTATTTCATTATGAAACACCCTACCCTAAACTTAACCCTTTTCGAGATATTCAACTTTTAATGTTTTTATTGAAAATTGCCGATTTTTAGGCTACTAAATGTATTTATTTTTATTTTGTGTGTGTTATTATTACTATTATTGCATTTTAACATGTGTAATAAGATGCTTTAGGACGTCAATCATTAAAATAGTCCATAAGTTAATTGAATAGGCTGTAGTAGATAAGTGAATGTTAAGAAATTGAAAAAAATATCAGAAAGTTTATTTTTCTCTAAGGGATATCTAAAAAAAATATTATGGCAATTGTTCGGCAGATGTGTTTTAAAATATCTATGTTTTATCAGCTATCTAACGAGGTATAACAATCTAGGATTTTATTTAAATGCATTGAAAAAACTTAGTTTCATAGGCGACAGTGGAGAAGAAAATTGATACTTAGCCCTAAAAAGTAAAATAAAACAATAGGTAAGCATGAAATATCATTTATTAAATCAGGTTTTCACACAACTTTTTCTTACTCTACAGTTCATGTTCAACATGGCTGCCTCTGTTTCTAATACATTGTCGCATCCTTCTACGGACACCAGTCTTTACAACTGCAGTGGTCAACGTTGTCCTTAGTTGATTTGCTGCATCGACAATCCTTTCTCTTAATTCTTCCACAGACGAAACTGGATTTGGCTCGCTGTAGACAAGACTTTTCATGCACCCCCACACATGAAAATCCATGGGGGTTAGGTCCGGACTTCTTGCTGGCCATGGCAACGGCCCACCTCGTCCTATCCATTTGTTTGGATAATTTGTGTCCAGCCAGTCTCTGACACTTCTCCTGAAATGGGCAGGGCAGCCATCATGTTGGAACCACATGTCCCTTCTCAAGTTGAGTGGCAGATCATCCAGCAAATCTCTGAAGTCTCCTCTCAAGAAGTTTTCGTAATTTTTCCCATTTAGATTGTCCGGGAGAAAGTAAGGTCCAATCAAATGGTTGGAGATAATGCCCATCCACACATTCACGCTGAATCTTCGTTGGGACCTCGCCACTCTTTTCTTATTGGGATTCCTTAGTACTTTTGGGGCCCAGTAATGGGCGTTGTGATAGTTAGTTATGCCATCGTTATCAAATTTGGATTCATCTGTCCATAAGATATTTCTTAGAAAATCTGGGTCTTCTACGTCAGCATTTAGCATAAATCTGCTGAAGTCCAACCTTCTCGCGGGGTCTCCTTCTTAAATAGTGTGTACCGGCGTGTAATGGTACGGGTATAGGCCAGCAGTATGCACTGTAAACCACATTCTCCATTGCGAAAGTCCCAGATCACGGGCAACACGATTAGTGGAAATGGTCGGATCCGCTCGAAAGCGTTGCGTTGCATCTCATTGTCCTGCAGTTCTTCGTTGTCATAAATTCGTGGTCTTCCCAGGTCTGTATTTCGTCTCAAAACAGAGCCAGTTTCTCGAAGTCTTAGATAAACTCTGTTAAAAACGGCCACATCCGGCACTCGACGACCGGGGAAGCGAGTTCTGTATTCGTTGCGAGCTTGCGCAGATACACAATCGCAGTATCCGTAACAAATAAGCATATCAGCATATTCCTCAGGTGTGTAGGACGTCATCTTCAACACTTCCGTATCACAAGTACAAATCAGAGTCCAGTGAACAAGCACAGTATTCACAAATCAGAAGAAAAAGTCCAGAATCGTAGCCAAGTCGAGGAAAAGAGCAAAACGATATCACATCTACTATGTACGAAGCACAAAAGCAGACTGACAACCAAAACAACATCCCGTGTTGGATTTCCAGCCCTAACCGGTTATTATAATATGTTTTCTTTCATTCGCACCCACATTAAATCGTCATGTCTCGCTCGCACGGTGCGTCTAAACTTGAAGGAGAATAGGCGTGGGAACTGCTACTGGAGCGTCCCAACTACTTTTTTTCTACGAAATGTAATACAAATCCTAGATTGTTATACCTCGTTAGATAGCTGATAAAACATAGATATTTTAAAACACATCTGCCGAACAATTGCCATAATATTTTTTTTAGATATCCCTTCGAGAAAAATAAACTTTCTGATATTTTTTTCAATTTCTTAACATTCACTTATCTACTACGGCCTATTCAATTAACTTATGGACTATTTTAATGATTGACGTCCTAAAGCATCTTATTACACATGTTAAAATGCAATAATAGTTATAATAACACACACAAAATAAAAATAAATACATTTAGTAGCCTAAAAATCGGCAATTTTCAATAAAAACATTAAAAGTTGAATATCTCGAAAAGGGTTAAGTTTAGGGTAGGGTGTTTCATAATGAAATAAGTCAGAAATGATGGGTACTACACGCCCTTAACGGATCTAGCACGACTTTTCCTGTAACCCTGTATATATATATATATATATATATATATATATAAAATAAAAATACGGCGGTTTCAAAATAAAAATACGGCGGTTTTAAAATAAAAATAAATGCTTTGACAAAGTGGTGTATTTTATCTTATTTTGGAAATTTCCGGAGACCCCCCTTGTCAGGGGGTCGCGAGCCACACTTGTCTTGTATCTGAATAAACTTTCTTACTTTCTAGTAGATTCTGCTATTGGTTGGCTATGGAAACCCTTACAGCTGATCATGTAATATAATAATGAAAATGATTCGAGAAAAAGTATTGAGATTTTTTTTTAAATAATCTAGAACAACATTCGTACACCCTGATATTATTTGCTTGAGGGAAAGGTACTAAAAATAGATGAGATTATGCATTCCACAAAAAATCTTCATATTCTCAGAAGACTGGTGAGCGTATATTCTTTATTTCACACCTGAATATTTAGAGCCTCTCCGCCACCACCGGACCGATTTTTAAAAAGGTATAAAGTTTGTTCGTCCTTGGGATAGTAGTAACCTTATGTGAAAAATTCATAAAAATCCGAGTGGTACTCTCCAAGTTATAGACGAGACAAGTAAAACTAGTGAGCAAAAAGAAATAGGTCGTACCTTAGTATCCATATCGATATCATCCGGCACAGCAGTACCTGCAGAGACTGCCGTGATGCTGCCGTGAGCGTGCGACTGATGGTACTTCAGCCCGTTGATATGTTTGTACTTCTTGGAACAGTTCGGTTCCGGACACTCTAGTAGCACCGGAGAGGGTGGAGGACTGTGACTTGGCGTCGTTGTCACCACTACCGTGGGTGTGGAGGACTTCGCTTTTTTCGCTGCTTGGCTTACGGTTGCACCTGAAGGGGTAGCACCTGAAAAACAAAATTATATTTAATCCATAAGAATTTCTTGCATAGAAGTAGATGGTATCCCAAAGGTTGATCCAGCATCAGAAAGATGTTACCATTACAGAAATCTGATCATGGGACCTAGGAACCTAAATAGTTTGGCATACTTTATTTAAAAGGAATGAAGCAGTGAAACTTTTTTGGATGATTTGACGTCTTTGACAATCTGTATTTCCCTCATTATGGTCAGGACATACAATTTAAGAAGTACTCTAACCTCTGCAGCGTTGCAGTAAAACAAATATGTCACTATTAAAAGTCGGGTATTATTGACGTGAAGAGAACGTATTTGGGATTCTTACAATGAAAGAGAACTGATTTGAATCCTTGTATTTCTCGGCGAATGAATCAGCCGGTAGGATTTAATTTCTACTCAGAACCTGGCCATATATTTCATGTAAGATTATCAACGTTCGAGAGTAAAAGTTACTTTCCTCACACGTGATGGAAGCCAAACCTTCAAAGCAAAAGTATAGACACACGGTAAGAACAAGGCGCTAGAATTTATTAGTTATTACATCCCAACTTTGACGCAAATTATCACCTTGAGAGGCCAAGTTTATCACGTCTCCTTCATAAAAACAACTGAAAACACTTATATATACTATTAATATTCTAACTAAGCAAAAAACACCTCAGTTAACTAGGTCGATTTCCCCTACACTTGCTCCATTTCAAAACGATTCATAAACAAGGAAGTCATAAGCGTAAACGTTATTGCTGAATAGGAAGCGAGAAATATTTTCTTAGAAGATCAAAAATCAAAATTCAAATTTTCTCGTTTATGGGGCCCCTGAAGCCGTGCTTGGGGGCCCGAGGCATATTCGGAAGACTGTTTGCAAGATTTCCCGGATTACTTACAACAGTTTTTTAAGGCCACAGCCTGGGTTGTTATACAACATAAGTCCTGCTTTAAAGGGAAAGCACAGTTATTTGTCACATGGACCGAATTTGACTCTCTAGACAAATTCAAGATTACGGTGAAAATGTATAAAAACCTAACGTACAGGTCAGGACTCCCTATTACACACAGAGTACATCAAACAATTAAATGTCAAGTCCGGACTTGCATACGATGTGTTTGTGGATTTTAACTTAATTTTAAGTTGGTCGTGCACATTGAATGCCATTTCCCTTTTGAGAAGAACCTATGTTGTTGTATAATATCAGTTGGTTTTTAACGAAAAAAGTAAATAGGATGCAAAACATTAATTTTCTCTCTTATTTATATCATGTATTGCTCTTTGTTCTGCGAAATAATAATAATAATAAATTCAGAGTATAAATTACAGGCATCCTGAAATTTTGAGTTTCCAAAAAATAAACAATGATGTAACTAAATTAATAACCCTTGAAATTTTGACTTTTGTGGCACATAAACTACTACATAAAAAAAATAACTAGAAAACTAAAAGTGGTGCAATCAATTTTTGCTGATTAATTGACTCCATCCACTAGTACATAGTAAAGATTTTCAATATTCAGCTTAAAAGGTGTGTAATTTGATAAAAAACAATAAATAGTGGAAAAAAGTGTGACTGTCCTGGATTTTTTAACCGTCAGTCTAGTTTTATGATATCTCTAGGCAACTTTGTGATCGTGCCGAATTTGAACAAAATTGGTTCAATAATACTGAGACATGTGATATCAAAAAATTTAGAATTTTTTATGTTCATTCAAGTATGGAACACCCTGTATACCTATATGAAGTAAATAAAAATTAAGAGTATAAATCTTACCATGTGGCGTAGCATTCTGTTGCGTCTGCGCGCTACCATTGCCATTATTTCCAGTATTACTCTCTTCCTCTCCCGACCGCTGTTTCCTTTTGTTATCCGGCCTGGGCGGCACGAACGTGCCTGTAGGTGAAGCGGGAGCAGTGCCGCCCCCGCCACTGGCCGCCCCAGAGCCGCTGTTCGCGTTGCCGTTTCGCCGCCCCTTTGCACCGCCCACGCTGCCTGTGGTTGTGGAATTGCCAGCCGCCCCACCGTTGCGGAGTTTGCTGTGCGCTGACGACCGTGTTTCTGAAAAATAGAATTGAAACATTGATTAATGACAGAAAATGAATTTTTGTTTTTAAATTTCAAGTACACATACGCCCACTTCGCGGTTCTACTGCTTGCAGTTGACATGGCAGTCTCCAATTACAGGCCAGAGCGGTAATTCTAGCTCAGGCGTGTGAATGAAAACGGCAAAATACTGATCGAATAGTGGAGGAATTCAACAATTTTCATGTAAACTATGTATTACTTTACTGTGACTATATGTATTTACTGGACAGCTATTCAAGAATTTTAAGAAATGTTTATCAATAGATAAAATGTACTAGTCGAAACCTGCAGTTCCGCTCGCGTGGAAGTAGTGGATTAGCTCGTTCATTCAAACAATACCTATACCCTTTCTGGAGTTTTAATTATTAAATGTTTTTACGTATCTCTGTACTGTAGTTCAGACGTGATGCTAACTTACTAGACAGACATTCACATATAAATGTATAACGTATATATAGATATCGATTTAAACCTCAATCTGTTACAAAACAAAATTTCAATGTGCATCCTCCATAACTACAGGTAAATAAAACTCTGTATAGTGAGGTAATTTGGATCGTTGGTTTACTGTCTTCCCAACAATCCCTGCGGGGAACAGACATTAGATTAATGATCTACGCACCCGATTTACCCAAGTACTTTTTTTACATTATACAGGGTGTCCCAGAAATAACACGCCAGAGTGACATGGGAGGTAGACTTGCTGCAGCCCAATCAGATAGAATCAAAATGACCTTAGTAAAAGTTCTCTAGTTTTCGAGATATTGCCACTTTTAAGCTTTTTCAAAAATCAATACTTTTTGCTCCTTTTTTGCCTGTTATGTCTATAAAGAACTTCAAGATGATGTTTTTGTTTCCTGGGCTATCATTAATAGTTGGTTAAGACAACCGAGTATTCATTTCATTGAATAATAGGTCGAGATGCTAAAAAAATGCATTTTGTTTCAATGTGAAAACCTTTACTAAAGTTTGACTAATTACTGTGAAAAAAAATGTACCAGACTGAATCGACAAATGATCTTGAAAACTTAAATTAACTTAGATTTTTTGCAACATCATCTACCCATTCGTTTGGAAGATGTGCCTCTTGAGACAAGAAGGATGTGATTACAGAATGATGAGTGCCCTGCCCACTATGCTAATGCAGAGGGGCACCTTGATGAAACATTCCCTAGAAGATGGATTAGCTCGCTAGAACGAATTTTGTGGCCCAACGCTCTTCAGACCTGAACCGTCTCGATTTTTTTACTGGAGATGTTTAGAAGATAAGGTCTATGGGAAACCAGATCTATCAGCCGAAGAACTGCGTAATCGAATCCGTCAAGCAGCACCCAAAATATCCGATTTAAGTTTGGGACGTTTAAAAGGACAATTTTTAAGAATATGCAGGTTGTGTATAAGAAAAATACTATTTTTTATTTGTAGTATTTCGCAAGTATTACGACTTCAATGACAAAAGTTGGAATTATTCAGTTTTTAGTAAAAAGAACCTACAAATGTTATACAACTTTTGAAAGAGCATTAAATAGCTAGTTTTTAATGTATTTTGCTGATTCAGTCTGGTACATTTTTTCACAGTAATTAGTCAAACTTTAGTATTTTTTTCGCATTGAAACCAAATGTAAATTTAGTTTGCTTTAGCATACCGTGCAAGTTTTCAATGAAATGAATACCCGCTTGTCTCAACCAACTACTAATTTCTCGGCGAGGAACAAAAATCATAAGTTAGAAGTTCTTTATAGCCCTAACAGGCAAGGAAAGAGCAAGAAGTAGGGATTTTTCAAATAAACTTAAAAGTGGCAATATCTCGAAAACTAGAGAACTTTTACTAAGGTCATGTTGATTTTACCTGATTGATCTGAACCTAATCTACGTCCCGTGTCACTCTGGAGTGTTATTTCTGGTATAGGTTTTTTACCTAAATACCCTACGAGTTATGGGCAGATACGTAGGATTTTTTGGAATTCCCTTAAATATGCCTTTAAGCACTGAGTTTTCTCAATGTAAATTTGGAGGAAACAAATAGACATTCTGAGGCCTACATCGATCCCAGCAACAAACTGACATGAAACTCGTGATCTACCCATCCAATTTATTCATGAAACGCGTTTTTATCAAAGTTGCAAATACTGAAGAATGTTTTTTTTAATAGTATCCGCTATAAATTGACTTAACTTTTTTTATAAACCTTCTAAAAAAGGTTATCTACAAAAGTTGTATTTTTTAAGTGGAAAACCCTGTATATGTTTAGTGAAAATCATAGTCGTCTTCCTGTGATCTCAAGTTTATATGGTTTATTATACTTATTTTCATTTCACTTTAGTCAAAAACTATTATAGAGTGTTTCGTGCAGTATTTTTTTTTTACCAGAAAAGTGCTAGTTTTAGTGAGAATAAAATAGTCACTTTTTGTCTGATTTCAAATATATTATATGGTTTGTTATACTCATTTATATTTGTTTGCCCAAAAATTTAAATTGTATATGTGTCATTTAATCACAACTCGGACACACATGAACAAATGACACACTAAATTGAAGTTTTTGGTCAAACAAACAAAAAATAAGTATAACAAACCATATACAGAAGAACCCCGATTTTATCCGAATCGCGATTATCCTAAATCCGCTTTCCCCTTTCGACGTTTGCATCATAAGATTTGCTGCCGGTGATTCCCCAAGCGCATTTGCGGAATTCACTGGTATGTGTGCGTGTATGTTTGTTTCAGTCAGGTTCATAATCGCTAAGATGGAGCAGCATTAGAAATAAACTTAGACGCACTGTTATTACCATAGAACAGAAACGTGAGGCAATCAGACATTTAGATAGAGCTGATTTGCTTAAAAACGTGGCAAGTGATTTGGGTGTGGGCGTGAGTATTATTTCAGAATGGAAAAAACAAACCGAGAAAATTGAAAACTGGTCTAGTGTTCTGACATCATCGCAGCCGTCACGGAAAACTATGAAAAGGGGAATATCAAAAAGTGGATGATGCTTTATATCTGTGGTTTACACAGAATTGAGAACGTGGAATACCAATTTCCGGACCAATTCTAAAGCAAAAGGCAGTCAACTTAAGTGAAGAATTGCCAGTTATTGAGGTGTCTGATAACTTTACAGCCAGTGATGGTTGGCTGCATAGATGGAAAAAACCACACGGTATACGAGAATTGAAAGTTTGCGGAGAAAAGTCCGCAGCATTAAAGTTTGGAGAACATTTTGAAGAATTAATAAAGCAGTATGGTTTACATCCAGAGCAAGTGGACAACTGCGACGAAACGGACCTAAGCTATAAAATGTTACCGTCAAAAAGTTTAGCTTCAAAACAAGAATCTGAAGCTGCTGGTTACAAACATAGTAAAGAACGTGTGACTATCCTTGCTTGTAGCAATGCTTCCGGTAGACACAAACTTCCTTTATTGTTAATCGGAAAATCAGCTAAACCAAAAGCATTTAAACACGTCCTTCCTAACGCTTTTCCAGTGTGGTATAAAAATCAAAAAAAATGCCTGGATGGATGCCGCTCTATTTAAGGGCATATTTGAATGAACGCGGATGACCGAGAAAATGTATTTTGCTTTTAGACAATGCTCCGAGCCACCCAAGTGAGGAGCGATTTAAAAGTGGAGAAATACGAGTGATGTTTCTGCCTCCTAATGTAACCTCACTGATTTTTGCCAATGGATCAAGGAGTTTTAGAAAATTTAAAACGTAATTACAGACGTTTGAAGAGAAAATTTTAGATCAAGTTGATAATGGTTGTAACCTCGTTGATTGTTTAAAAGAGATTCACCTAAAGAATGGGGAATACTGGATAGCAGAAGCATGGAGCCAAGTAAAAAATTATACTTTACAAAAATCTTGGTCGACATTTATTAAGCAAAAAATGGAACCTTGCGCAGACTATGAGAATAACAACGAAAATTTACATGAGCTCGTCGTAAAAATAGCAGGGTGTGAAAATCTTACCCAAGCTGATGTTGGTGAGTGGATTAATGGTTATGAATTGATGGAATTAACTGATACAGAACTAAAAAAATGCTATGAAACAGAAATCTCTGCCAACGGTACAACAAGAAAATGCGACAGCAGCTGATGTGCTACTTATCAAACGTTAGAGGGATATTGATGCCAGAAATAGGCACAATACAAAACGTGTACAGTTAAAAATTACTTCCATTGTTACTAGATACTCGTAAAAATGTATGTGTGTATCCACATGTTTATATTTTACGTAACTTTATACCTGGAATAAAGTGTGCAATATTCTACCAGCGGTTTCTAGAGCTTAAAATACGAAGAAAAGTGTATACAAACATAGGTCGACAAACGTCCCCTAAGGGCGCTACGGTCTTTTAAAGGGACTCCCCTGAAGATGGTTTTTCCTTAATATTTCCGAAACGTGTTCAGATAAAGACATAAAATTTGGTATTCTAGCCTAGTTTTTTATGTCGGATTTAAAAATATTAACAATTTTAGACAGTTTTGTTTGGAAGCGTATGTAACAGGGACGGACTCAGGTTATTTTAGCCCAAAATTTTTCTGTGATTCTATTTTTGAAATTCAATTTTAGAGTTTGAAAATCTAGGGTTTTCTACATAAAAAAGGTACTCTTATTGAATATCGATAAATTGTCCCATTTTTAAATAAAATCAAACTAAAAAATTTGTCACATGATAGGAAATGTACTGCAAATTTAAATGAATTATTGATTATACATAGTTAGCCATGACTGCAAACAAAAGTGGTTTTGATTTGTTATGACTTATTTTGACGTTAAGCTGACATTGTTAGAAGTGTAAAATTACTAGATTAGAATCAAAACTTCATGCATTTTGTGTACGGATTTTGCAATGGCAGTTCATTGGCAGCCGTAAGAGAATATCAAAGAAGATTTCCCAATCGCATAGTAGCTGGACTTCGAATTTTTACCGATATTCACCGGAATTTGTTAAACCATGGAAGTTTTCAGCGCATGCAGGGCTCAGGAAGGCCACTGGAAAATCATCGTATGGATATTGCTTTAAATATGTTTGAAAATAATCCGCAAATAAGCATACCAAATGTTTCAGAAATTATGGATATACCTCGATCAATAGTAAGAAAAATTTATGAATACCTATTTGATAGTTATTCTAAAAATAATAATTTTAGATAGGAAGAATGATAAGAATGCAAGGATTACATCCTTATCATTTTAAACGGGAGGCAGATTTTTTACCACGAATCGAGTTTTGCCAGTGGATATTAGCAAATGAAAACACTATTCCTAGAATATTATGGTCGGATGAGTCAATATTTACTAGGAATAGTGCTTTTAATTTCCATAACATGCATCACTGGTCAGATGAAAATCCAAAAGTTGTTCGCCGTACAAATGTCCAACATATATTTTCATTGAACTTATGGGCAGGAGTAATTGGGGATCAAGTAATTGGGCCTATTGTACTTCCCAACCGTCTTAATTCAGAGGTGTATCTGAACTTCCTTCAGAATGAGCTCATGGATATAATACCATTGGATGTGCGCCCGCAGTTTCAAGAAAATATGTTTTTTCAACATGATGGCGACCCTGCACATTTTGGACGCAATGTTCGAAATTGGTTGAATGTCAATTTTCCAGACAGGTGGTTAGGCCGAGGAGGTCCTATAGCGTGGCCGCCACGTTCACCTGACCTAAATCCATTGGATTTCTATTTTTGAGGGTCATTAAAACACCTAGTTTACTCGACTGATGTTAAATACTCAAGAAGATTTACTTCAGAGAATCCATCAGGCTGCAAATGAAATAAGAAGAAAAAGGTTTTGAACTTTTCGGGCAACGCAATCATTAGTTCGTCGAGTGAGACTCTGTATCCAACAAAATGGGAATTTATTTGAACACTTATTGTAAAGCTAGTTTTAAGTATATCCAACTGTATATCTTCTTTTTTAAACAAATTTCAATTTTGTTCGTAGAAAAAATTGATTTCTTTTGTTTTTGCCTATGCTGCAATAGAAATATGTATTTATGTAATATTTACCAATTATTAAATTAGTTTTTTCGTTGCCATGGCAACAATTCATATAAATTCGCAGTACATTTCCTATCATGTGACAAATTTTTTAGTTTGATTTTATTCAAAAATGGCACAATTTATCGATATTCAATAAGAGTACCTTTTTTATGTAGAAAACCCTAAATTTTCAAGTTCTAAAATTGAATTTCAAAAATAGAATCACACAAAAATTTTGGGGCTAAAATAACCTGAGTCCGTCCCTGTTACATACGGTTCCAAACAAAACTGTCTAAAATTGTTAATATTTTTAAATCCAGCATAAAAAACTAGGCTAGAATACCAAATTTTATGTCTTTACCTAACACGTTTCGGAAATATTAAGGAAAAACGATCTTCAGGGGAGCCCCTTTAAAATACCGTAGCGCCCTTAGGGGACGTTTGTCGGCCTATGTTTTTTATAAACTTTTATTCCTAGTTTAAGCTCTAGAAACAGCTGGTAGAATATTGCACACTTTTTTTCGGGACACTGTATCTAGGTATATAATCACTTCACACACGCATCTACTATTCTCAATAAAAGCATTATGAGTCTAAATATTTATTTCCGTGTTATCCAAATTTCGATTATCCGAAAGCACTTGGGTACACATTATTTCAGATAATCGGGGTTCTACTGAATTTGGGTATCAGAAAAAAGCGACTATTATTCTCACTAAAATTATACTGCATTTGAAATAATACGATTTTATTCGGTAGCACTTTCCTGATAAAACAGATATTGCATGAAAAACTTCATAATAGACCTTACAACTTTTGTTAATTCCTGTGGCCTCCCTACAACTTTATGTACTACTGTAGAAAATCTGACATCTAAGATACTTGAGAAGATACTGATAAAAAGAAACGAATCACTCACCCCTTCCTTTGGGAGTACGGTTATCCAGGTCACTTGTGGGTGAATCACAGAATCTAAAGAAATTTGAAATTATTAGTCTCCTTGGAATAATGATTTGCAAAATACACCTAAATGAATCTTGTTAGTAAAAACACTATTGGACGATTTATTATTCTGGACAAATATTTTTCTTTTCAGTATACGGATACTAACCTTGGTGGAGCCCAGTCGTGCCTTGTACAGTCTAAGAGAGTTCCCACGTAGGTTTTGCCTCTCCACGTTACATTCACCACTAGTACTCCTAAATAAACAACAAGAATAAAAATTAAAATAAATATTAAAGCGCGAGATATTTATTCAAAACACACGAGCAAAAACGGTTGTTATTAACTAACTGTTTCACGTCAGAAATATGACGCCCTTATTAAAGAGATCCTCGACTTTTCTAAAAAAATATGTGGAACAATTAACCGCAAATTCTAACGGAAGGCAATAAAAGTAGCAACTAGAAAATATTATAAAAGAGGTTTGTGAAAATGCATCTTTGAACCTTCAAACATTTTTTGACTCACTGGAAAAACAGTAAAAACGAAGAATGGGTTTTATCTAAAGATGAGATCACTGACATTTTTTTGACTAGGGCAAAAATGATATAATGAACTTTTGGAACAACTGAATTATTAATGATTTTCATATCTCACCTCCTTCAGTCTCATGCCAGACGATCCCCTCCAGCGTTACGCTGGTTCCAGGTTCGCACGGTCCCAAACAGTCTGGTTCCGTTATGGTTCCTACACTAGTACCGACACATACATCCGTCACCTCCTGAAACAACAAAAGTAAATGTTAAATTATACTTCCAATTTCAAGTAAATTTTTAATTTCCTTTTAAAGTATATTGGACGGGAGTAAATGTCTAATAGTCTATTTATTTGCTGATGTTTTAACAGACTGCTAGACATTTTTCTCAAATAATTAGTCTCTTTTACTAAGTTTTATCTTGTGTCTGTAACTTGAGGGCCTACCGATGAGGGCTCACTTTTCCGGGTTACGTTATTATATGGTGTACCTAAACTACCCTAACGACATTTAACATTTGTTATATTGATAACAAACGTAAACCATCCGAGCACGCAGGTGCCCCATTCGTACCAAGCACCCTAATTTAATACCGCTACCTAGCGTACGTCGATCTGAATTAACTAAGAGCAAAGGTCCACCGGACCGCTCTGACGAATAATGACGAATAGTCGTTCTGAACTGTTTATGCTTGTGGTTAGGGATAATTTGCATTTTGGACTGACAATTCTCTATTGATCTGACTAATGATATTTGTACCTCTGCTAGGCTTCACTTGGCGCTTTATGACAAAGATTTCATTATAGAAACAAGGCCTATATTCCACTATAAGACCGTGATGAATGTTTTTTTTTTTGTCCACAGCGTTCGCTGCGATAGATCCAGCTCCCCCTACCATGAACTGAACCGCTGGAGTCCATCTATATAGCTTTGAAATTAATCAAAACTACCAGTAATAAATAAAACTAATCAGATACAATGTAATAAAGTATATATATATATATATATCCATTAATTAGTAAATTAATATTTTAAGTTGTCTACTCAGGTAGTACATGAGCCTATCATATCATATACCCAGCAGCCAATAAACGTAATGGACTGGTCACTGGGGAGAAAGGAAATTCATTTACAAACCAACACACAGAACAGGATGTAAATAAATGAGGACATCCTGTGTTTGCCTGTGGGAACCACCTCAGTGGGAGGTCACGCATTTTCGCGCCATCAACATGCAAAGCATAGTGGAGATGGTTTATTCTTCTTTTTGTGATCACAACGAAGTAATAATAAAATGGCAGTAGGGTATTAAAAAATATAAATGTGCTTGCTGACATTAGTTTTATTAAGGTTGTATTCACTCCATGCGTTGTATCGTTACCAACAGTGTTTAACATGTAATCGAAGTTGTACTATAAACACTAAATTCATTTTCAAGGTGCAAACATTGTAACAGGTATAAGTCATTATGACGAGCTAGTAAGAGCCGTATTCAGTGCTTGGGTGAGGGATATCGCTGTTTAAGGAAATCTATCTCAGGTAGGAATGACAACCATACATCGAAGTATCGAAAACATCCATACATCGAACTGGAACATCGATGTTTTGGCATCGATAGTTCTATATCGACATACTGATGCATCAACATTGAAGTGCTCAAGAAGGTCGATGGTGCCATCTTTAAATGAGGAATCAACATTGGTGGAATCTTCAAATTCGAGCCATGGCAGCAATGTGTTTAACAGTACCGGCAGTACCCCAGTGACATTATAGCATCATATATGCTTCATATTCTGTATTTCTATAAAATTATACTGCGCATTTAAGTTACTCTGGGCATTTTTATATCCATTCTTATTATTCTTGTTATACTTTCATTAGATTTCTAAATTTGTAGTTGTTTGGTTTCACTATTTTGCTGGATAATTGAAATGCCTCCAAACGTGATATGTTGAAATACTCTAAAAAACAATATTCAACGAATGCACAGTGCAAAGTATATGGAAAGACTTTTAACGGGATACTGCAATCGGTTACAGAAATATTATTCTTTTATCCTCGCATGAAGTTCCAGTCTTTTTATTTTTAGGGGCCTTGAAATCAGTTAAAAACGCAGTGGGAATTGTACCAACGGACTGTATCGAAGCCATCGATATCACTATGGCGATGTTTTTCGATGTCTAAACACCCGTTTTCTGAAAAATTTCCTGGACGTTTAATTTCTCGATTTCGTGATGTCAACTGACCACCAAAAATAGGGCAATATTACGGAAGCGACTGAAAATATTCCTTCCTCCTCCTAATCTGATATTATTTTTCCTGCATAATTTCTAAGTGTCAATAAAAGATTAAGATGAAAATGGAGGTATTTTATTTCATTTCACAAATATTCAAGATACAAACCAGTCAGTTACAGATCTGTAACTCTGTAACGTATATCAATTAGGCCGATTTACATATCGGCCAATTAGGTCTATCGGTATTGTTAATTTTTAGCATTCGTTCGTATATACACACTTTGTTCGAATTATGAGATTATGAATGTATACATTTCCTAAGAATGTCAGAATGCAGCTTTCTAGAAACGGAAGCAAAAACGCATGATACCTTTTTTTTCACGATTTTGTAGTGAACCCAACGAGGATGGCAACGGTGTGTCGTATATTGTCATATCGAATTAAAGGGGCTTTAGAGGGTCGTATGTCGTTGCGTTTCATAGATAGGCGCAGGCGGTTTTAGGGGTGTTTATACGGACGATAATTGCTATGGGGATGGCCCGATAGCTGGATATCTCACTCTGATGAGCGCTCGTATATACACGTACATAAACGCGTTTCAGGACTAACAATTAATTACATGGGGAGAAGGGGATACGAACATGTGTATGCTTATCAATCTGATGTTCAGGATGAAGATAATAATGTTGAAATAGACCATTCGAAGCAAACATTAGATATACCAGGTGAAGTAAAAAACTTAATTAGAAAAATCATCTTGGACATTTCCGTCGTTACGACATTTTCACATTTCCAAGTCCAAGTTACTTTCACATTCTGATGTTTAACATAATACCACCATGGCAAATACAGGAGCTTCCTAGTCCAATTATATCTCATATGGCAAAAGCCTCATGGAGCGTAAGCAAAAGTAAAAACAATATTCCTATATATCTGGTCAGCTACTAATTTGCGAAGTAGACAACCTTATACAAACAACACTTTCAATGTTTATTACGATGAAATCTTAAAAAAATGAAATCTAATTTCAAAATAGATTTTTTGTGTTTACTAAAACCTAATTTTCATTCAATTCAAAACGGATAGGATATTAATGAAGTACATTCAAAATCTCGTGTGAAACCAAAACATACAGAGTGTTCTGTTTAAGACAAGCAAGCTGCTATCTACTTCCGGGACAACCGAAAGTGCCGCCATTTTTAAAAATTTCAAATATTTATATCATAAACCCAAATTTTCATACGTAGGTCAGCCTGTATGTTAATCAATGAATTGAGACTCGAGTTACAGGATCTGAATCTTCAAACACCTCACAAGGAAAATCAGTTCAACTTCAACATTGCTATAAAAAATGTACGCGTAACTGATTAGAATACTGAATCAATAAGTTTCAGATAAACTTCTAATTATTCAGCGTTGAATCAGCAATATACCGTCACGCCAGCCAATTAACATATAAAATATGAAACGGTTCTACTGAACACATTAGCGTCATGTTATCTTAGCGTCTACCGTTCATAATCGCTAGGTAGATAGCAAACTTAATTATAGTTTGCATAGTGTATACGTGGATATATTTACGCAGGAAACATTTATCATTCAATCCTGACAAATTGATTGATGACAAACATGTAATTATATGATTATTTACGAAAAGTGTTTCACCTTGCATGCGTTAGAAGTTATTTTAATTGTGGAAAAAATATTTTTCTAATCACTTGCTATCTGCGTTCTGATGCATAACATTATACATGCGAGTATTTGTAGGTATATTATATTGCAATAAACGTTTCAAGTATTTCGGACAAAAGACCAGGTTTTATTACAAGCTTAAAGTATTATTGATACATCATTTTCTACACCATAATACAATAGCAAATCCTGGATTGACCCTCATCCCACGTGATTACGGTGAGATCTCTTTTCAGACTGGCGTACCAACAGCGATATGGAAAAATCTAATTTTCATAGATTCAACCAAAAACACGAAAGCCATGACTCAATTCTTACAACGTTTTTAACACATTCGTGTTTGTCGACCGTGGCGACACAAATTGGCATTCCAATAGTTCAATTAGCCACACACACAGACTACTGAAATTTAATTGGCCGAACAGATACCAAATACGATTATTATCGTTGGCAAGACTTTGTAGTAGAAAAATAAAGGAATATTATACACAGTTGGGAAGCATTTATTCGAATGACGAATAACGAATGAATAAATTGTTTCGTTAGATGATAATTTCGCCCCTTCAAAGAAAAAATATTCCATTGAAAATTGAATGTTATTCTTTAGTTGATTAACGAATAAAAATAAGACAAACAACAATGATCACAATTCTTTCTTAAAATGTCACACTGTCATAGATTTATTTTTGGAGTGCGGAAATATGAAGGCTGCATAAACACCCTGATTCAACTGCATTCACTTGTTCTGTTTCATAAAATAATATCCTACAAAATATCACGTACCTGTACAACAAAATTACGTTTCGCGGAGATGTTCATAATGTCAATGTTCGGATTAGAGGCCTTATTTCACAGCTATCACATAAATCAGCTGTCTTCAACTAGATATATATATTTCGATTTCTCGAATCTATCAACTATTGCCGACTTATTGAACCTCCCACCTTTTAGGAGGAAAAACCATATTGTGACTCCCTGAACCTAGCGTCTGTTGCCATCTTGTTACACCCCTGTCCTTTTATGTATCACGACCTTCCCCTTGTCGGCTCTGTCTATGAGTCTGTCTTTGTCGCACATTCTGCTTTTATAAACACCACACCATCACCAACCGCTAAGTGTTTAGTCCTATCAGCAGTCGATCGATTACAAATCTTAATTGCCACCTCATTTAACTTTGGGCCCATGTAAATCTTCGACGGGGAGACGCTAACCAGATTTTGTTATTTATTCTGTTCAGCGAGATACGCGTGGTAAAGAAGGGAAAGTTTGACGGTGGACAAGGATGATTTCTTATATGATCCAGAAGCGAATATTGCA